CCCCCAGGTGGGTCGAGCCTCCAAAGTTGGTGGGGGTCGGTCATACATTTGGAATCGATTGGAGCACTCTAAATGTGTCAAAGTGGTATTTTTCAAAATTTGCCCCNGTTCCAGGGGGTGTGCCACTGGCATGGGTGGATCGGCCGTCCAAAGTTAGTGGGGGTCGGTCATACATTTGGACTCGATTGGAGCACTCTAAATGGGTCAAAGTGGGATTTTTCAAAATTTGCCCCTACCCAAAAGTTCGACCCAAATTGGGGGACATCAGAATTCGTTTTAGAGGTATGGTTCCTTCGGCAAAGTTTCTTATTTTGATCCCTAGAATATGATTTTCACAGAGCAATGGGCGATTTTTTTGCCTCCCCACAAATCGACCCGGCCTAATATATATATATCTCATGATCCACTACTCGATCTTAACCAGATTAGTATGGGACCACCTCTGAGACACTGCTTTTCCGATGCAAAAAGAATTAACGAAATCGGTTGACGTGGTCCAAAGTTATGCGGTAACATACATAAAAAAAATTATATACATTCCGACGAATTGATAACCTCTTCCTTTTTTCCAAGTCGGTTAAAAAGAGTACAAGGCAACCCATGCTTTGAATAGAAATAGATGAACCATGATTCAATAACACCGGATTTACATGATTCAAGTACTCGAAAGCAATTCTTGCTCATTCTCTTTTGTGTTTTCTATTTGCTTTTACACGTTTCAATTCTGTTGAATTCAAGTTTTTGGTTCTTTAAAGGGGAAGCAACGAAAATGCCAAAAGCAAAGCAAGAAAGTTGAAACGACTTGACGGTACAGACGCATGAGTACTCGTCCCTTTTCTTCTCAGGCCCCCTCTCTTCCACATGCGAGCAGAATTGAATTCAATACTTGAACTGTGTAAAAGCAGTCTAATTAAAGGTTTGATAAATGGACAGTTGTCTCTCTCGCACCGCTCCCGTAGCGATGGCAGCGTGTTGCTTATTTGCAAATTTACTTGGAAAAGGTGTAGCTTTGTTGTGAAATAGAAGTATAAGCTTTTGCGACTGTCAATAATTATCTAATACGGCTTTTCCATGCTACGTAATTCGCTCCCTCATTCGTAATACGCTCTCCCATTCGTCATTCGCCTTGCCAATTACCTTCCGAATTACGTAATTCGCCGTACAAAATTTTGAGGGCGAATTACCTCATTTGTAGGTAGTTCAGGGGCCGAATCACGGCTCTCGTGATCGAGTAATATTTTTCAAAATTTTCTGTTTTGGCATCACCGCATTCGGGATCGAGTAAAATTTATCGAAATTTGGCATCACCCCATTCGGTATCGAGCAAACGTTCGAGTAGAATTATTCAAAACACCATTCGACAGTAAATTTTGCATCGAGAAGTGGGAAATTAAAATAAAACAACAAAATGTGAGTATATTTCTAGTAAAAACTATTGCAAACTTTAATATCTTTTTATATTTAAGGACAAACATAAACAAAATCAACAAAAAACAAAAAAGTATTATGGCGGAATATATGCAGGAGCACCCGGATTTGGCCAGAAATATTCTGCCAAATTGCGCTCAAGGAAGAACCGTTGCTCAAAGATTGTGGGAGCAACTTTCCTTAAAATTAAATTCTGTTGGTCCGCCTACAAAAGAACTTAAAATGTGGCGTAAAGTAGGTTGTTTTGAATTTATATAATCAGAAGTTTGTGTATTATTTGGCTTAAAATTGTAGGTATTTGCAGACCATAAGCAGCAGTTTAAAAAGAAGCTGTCTTTTAATAAAGCTTCTAAGCAAAAGACCGGAAGTGGGCCTTACCAAGAAAAGCTTTTGACGGCGTCCGAGGAGCTGCTGCTGCAAAAGCGATAACGTAGCAGCTAATTGCAAGACGGAGGGTACTGATGTGGACATATGCCCCTCAAACTCAAGCTCCGAAAGCACGTACTCGAACGCAGGTTTTGACAGTCGGAAACGTTTTTTGAATCTGCAAATAAAGAACTTTAACGTATGAAACAAATACCTACTAGAAAGGTTAGAATCATTAAAACTTACGCTGCTGCTGGTAAACTTAAGGGATTTCTTTTGCCACGTAATCCTCTCCGTATCTGCACTTGTCTGACTTCATTATCAGAATAAGATGAGCTCGAATAAAAAAATACTGAAATATTCATTTTATAATAACTGATATGAATATTTTATTTCTTGTTTACGTTTGAGAAATGGTTAAAGATGATACATTTACTAATTGGCAACCGATTAATAATCGAAGAAATTTCGCTAGCTTGCGAATCGAGGGCGATGATTTGCCTATTCGATTCGAATCGAAATTTTTCTCTACTCGACCAGTCACTCGTTCACGAGAGCCGTGATTCGGCCCCAGATCGAATTACCATGCGAATGACGAACGAATCGGTGCCTTCTCTAATATTTATCGAAGTTTTCACCGGAGGAAACTGGGTAACTCACGAATAACTTATATTACATTTACATTGGACCAAAATGCGTGATTTGAAATCAGTCATTTGAAGGTGTTTACACTGCTTGATCCGCATTTGCTTTGACTTCTCATCAAATGAAAAGGGAAGACAAAAACAAAATGTATGTAAACAAACACTACATTTATTATATTGTTAACGCTTTTTGGACACAAAAAGGCAATTATTCTTTGATTAAACTAAAAATGTGTAAAGCTCTTGTATAAATTAACAATTTTTACACACAAATTTCAAAGATTTATTTATTTCGTTGTGTTTGTTTTGTGTTTGAAAAATTCCAAATGTCAAAGACAAACCAAAGCTTTTGTGGAACTTTTGTTTCTGAGTGCGTTCAATAAAATAGTACGGCAATTGGAACGCATTTGTTTCGTGATTTTGTGTAAATGCGTCGAAATGCGTCATTCTGGAAATGTGAATTTGTATGGAGAAATGCGTGATTTGGCCTCGCATTTGAGGTTTCTCGCCCAAATGACGCATTTGGGCTCAATGTAAATGTAATATTAGTGAATTACCATGAACGAAAGACACAAGATCACGCGGGAAGGAAAGAACGAACAAAGTTATTTTCTAGCTGCCGAAATCTCGACGCCATCTTTGTTGTAAGAAGTAAACAACGAAGAGAACGGAGAAAACCGCGAAATTTTTGAACGCATGAAAAATCATTTTTATTATGCAAATTCTTCTATAAATCATGCCGTTGTGTTAAATTATTCTTTATCTTATGTGTACACACGTCGTCACAAGCGAAAATGAAGAAAATTACAGTAAAAAGCCACCATTAAATTGTAAACAACGAAGAAAGGTAAACAAACGGCTAATGTCAAAATCGTTCAACTTTTTTCCTAAATGCGATTCTAACGGGCTAGTCTCCTGCCCGCGTGATCTTGTCTTTTTGGTTCATGGTGAATTACTTAGAGAGCGAATTACGAATTGTGGAAACAGCGTGTAACCTGGTGTTATTGAATCATGGTATGGGAGTACATTTTCGTAGTGGCAGAATTAACGCCTTGGCAGCCCTACAGTTAATCGGTGCAGTCAACGCCACTTATTTGTCATAAAATGTCTGTGGAAAAAATATATCGATGTTTATCTTGAATTCGATGAAAATCGGAGCACCGATTTGCATTTAATTTTTCAGGCATTAGTTTCAGGCTAATTACTAGCTAAATACAAATGTTTCTAAAGGAACTTTTAAAGATTTTTAAATTTTTTGGTCAAACTTTTCTATTTTGCATACATAATTGAAAAGCTCAAATGGTTGTTTAATGTACTAGAATTGTCGAAAGCAAAACATCGATATATTGTATGCATCGATGTTTTTCCAACATACCTAAATTGCCATTTGGGATAGATTTGCTCCAGTAGTTTCACAGTATAGACAGTAACCAACCTTTTTGGGTTGTTGTTGTAGTAATCGTTGTTGTTGTAGTTATATTCACTCCTGAGGAAGGCACGGGGTTGTGTGCTGCTATTTAATGGCCTTCCTCAGACTTTTTCTTAGATTTCAGGGTTGTGTGCTGTATTATTATTAGATTTTATTAAAAGAAAATTATCAATGGTGTTGAAAAACCAAACAAACACTCGTGCGAAAGCTCTATTTTTGTGTATTGTTAAATTTATACATGGCGTACTTATTCTTTTGTGGACTTTATGTTACTTGAGAATTTAGACAACGTGCGAGCTGTCAGGTTCTGTTATAAATATAATTAACACAAGCTTTTCCGAGTGGTTGGCTTTCAATAAAAAGAATAAACAAATATTCGCAAATAAATTGGATTTATTTTATAACTGACAACTAATCTACGCTTTTTGTTCTTTTCTCCATTTTAATTTTGACTCCTTATTACCGCCAACAACTTTATGTGTATACATATTTACAAGCTGTCAAAATTTTGCGTAGTCCCACGAGCTAGGTAAAAACTATGGCATTCGTATTCACAACGAGAAATCTAAAAATTTTTGTTTGGTATTTCCAAATTTTCTCTTTTTAATCAGTTGGCAAAGGCCCTCAGTGGCAGCGCTCCGTTGAGATAGTAATTTTATGTCAATTAGTAGAAAAGTTCCATGTTTAAACAACTTTTTATTATGGCGAGAAAATTTTACATTTCTGCTGTGCCAATTCGTAACTTTTTACTGTTGGAAATTTTTGACAGTTGCTCTGGTTCAAAAGAAGTTGAGCAATTAAAATCAGAAATTATACAAAAAAGACTTGTCTTTACAGACATTTATTCTTCTAGAACTAAAAGCCATGAATTTATGAGACGCCTTAATAATCAAATCAAACCATCAGGCCGGGTTGAAAATTTTCATTCACCTCATAGTTAACAAAAATTTACAATCCGTAGTACTTTTTTATCAATTCGCAAATGCGTTTAATTTAAATCGTTTAGAAAATGCGTCATTTATGTATACCATTTTAGGTGGAATTATTCAATAAATTTCGTTTTACACTATACTTTTTGAAACTATTTGGAGTTAATTATTTTTTGTTTCTTAAAAGCAACCCTGCGTGCCGGGAAGGCGTGTGTACCAATAATTTCATCCCTAGCATATTCATCCCCGAGGAAGGCAGTCGCCAAATTCACCGAAGGTTGTTTACTGGTTATATTGTGAGTAGTTTAGTGGAAATTATAAACGTTTTGCAGTAAAATGGCAAATTTTATGCAAAAGAGTGTGGTGACCTACGCTTGCACCTGTGGTCTTGTGAATCCAATAACTAAACTCTTTTTCCGTCGACACTGTTTGAAGCTAAGGTGTGGTTTTTGCGTCTGCCACGAAGTGAGTAATATGTTGCCCTTTTACGTTGACATCTAAATTTCATTCGATTTCGTATCCTATAATGCATCAGGTTGATTCGCATTTTTGCTCCAATTGCTTGGAGAACATACCCTCGTCGGAAGCAAAGCATAAAAAGAATTGTTGCACCAATTGCTTTAATTGTCCATGTTGTCAACATACTTTGTCCGCAAGAGCCACCATGGTTGTGGTTCCCAAGTAAGAATCATTTTTTTGTTTGTAGTTAAAAACTTATATTAAATTTGGTACAGGAAATCTGATGAAGCTCCTAAAGAGAGTGAAGGAGATGGAGGAAAGGTTGTAACGAAGAAAATGTATTATCTCTCATGCCTGGGTTGTCGGTGGACGTCCCGTGATGTGGGCATTCCTGATCAATCTGTTGGTAAGTAATGCCCCTAATACTCCCGAACGTTGCTCATACATAATTACATACTGTTCTACCGTAAGCGACTGGAGCTTGGCCGGAAAATGATTGTTCTTACCAGACACGCTTCAATGCGCTGTTGGAATACTACCAAGCTGTCGTCTTGCAAGACAAGCAAGAAAAGCAGGAATACTTAAGACGTAAAACACCCAAGGCACATAAATTTCCAAGTCTGACCGTATGTAAACAAGCAGAAGCAAAGTTGAAATGCCCCTATTGCGAAATGCATGAATGAAAATGTTCCAAATCGTCATTGACCCGTGGTTGCTCATATCTGACATTTCCATCAAATATACTTTAAGAATTGCGATAACTGATACTTTTTATTGATGCATTTCCGAAAAAGGGTGCTTGTTATAAATTTGAAAATTTGTTAATCATAATAAATTATACTTGCTCGCCTCAGGATCGCACGGGTCTGACTGTTTCGATGATACGCCGCCAAATTGGCTGGCCAGATAAAAATACTCAAAAGGCAAAGCCGGTAAATATCTCACCATCAGTTGCCACTGAAGAACTTGAGGAGCTACCTGATGAGGTCTTTAC